CTATAATTTCAGAAAAATTTCACCGAATCCATTGTTTTCAGATTAATTTCTACAATTAAAAATTAATTCCTGTGATTTTCAAAAAAAATTATTTAATTCAAAAAAAATTCAAGAAAACTGTTAATTCACAAGATTCAGAAAATCCAAAAATAATTTTAACAATTCCAAAAACGATTAAATTTCAACTAATTCTAGAGTTAACGCCCCTTCGATTAGGACTTACACGTCCTCTGGGGCCAAATTAATGGTGATGGTGTCTGCAACATCAGACCCATAGGCAAGATACCCCAACAACCCCATTCCGACGTATAAAACAACGATGGAAATCATCCCGATATTCAGGACCCCGCAGCCCCCCTTGAACGCTTTGGGGGTTTTCATCTCGTTTTCAAGCGGCATTATCTGAAATAAAATAAATTTAATCTGAAATTTGAAATTAGCACTTGGTACTCACCACGCCAATGGCTTCAAGAGCAAACAAAACGGTTCCAAAATACAGCGGAAAATCGGCAAGGTTTCCTGCAAGATTTCGTCCTTCAAATGTCATGTCGGCTTTAATGAGGTAGTACAGAATAATTCCAAAACTAACAACAGTTACAAAGTTGGCAACTGTGGAAAACGGGGCCAAAAATTTCAAGTTTCTTATATAATTGATGAGTATTAAAGGTAGAAGGATGACCAACATCCAGATTTTCACGTCTAATTTTTCGATGTACTCATCGGCGACGTGTTTCACATTTTCGGCAATAAAAACGGTGTAGACGCAACAAGCCCCCAGTTGGTATATCAGCAAGAAAGTGTTTATTACATGACTGGAAAAAAAATCATCAAATTTGAAAAAGTTAAATTTTTGGGACTTACACCGAGTAGGGAGCTAAGACTTGGAAGAGCTTTGGGCCTTCGAGGAGGGCCAATTCGGCCGTCGCTGGATACGTCAAACTGGGCATTTTTTTTCGTTTGCATAGCTCGTATTCAGCCTGGATTATCATATGTATACAGTATGTACAAATCCCTCCTATCAAAATTGTGAAAATTATTCCTACCAAATACCCGGAATGGTAGAAAGCCAAAGGCATTGATAAAATTCCAGTACCCAAACTTCCCTTGAGAAGATGCAACAAAGTCTCGGCATTTCTGTAAAAAGTGACTATTTTTAAATGTAATAAAAGACAAGTACAACACTTATGAGCATAAACACGTTTCCATCGTTCTAATCAAAATGTGGAGATGATTATAATAAAACTTTAATGTTGTCATAAATCTCACTTCATTACAAACAAAAGTATGACTGTTAGAATATTTCAGTGATCCAAAAAATATCCAAATTGGTGACACTTTTTTTATCAAATAACTGAATATTAAGAAAACTGATAACCTCGTTTAGGGTGTGATATAATCAAATTTACGAGAATTTTTTTACAATGATTCTTTGAATTTTATAAGCAAATATTTTTGTCATCAATTAACAATCACCTCATTTAACGCGTTTCCAAGATTACATTATGAGATTTTGTTGTTCTTTTTATACTTTTTAGCACACTTTTGAAGAATAAAACTAAAATATCTAAGCTGTATTTGTTTTTTACACACATTATTATAAATAAGTGAAATTTACGATAAAGCTCTTTTTTTTTAATTTGAAAATACAAGTTTTTAAGTTTTTATTACTTATTTCTATTTTCTTTGTGCTTTTTCCCTTTTTTTACTTTATCACTTTTTTAAATACATATTACAGCATTTTATAGTACCCGAAAAATGTGTCCATTCTTTTCTGTTTATTTCAATTTTTTTTGAAAATTTCTGTTATGAACAGTTTTTGTCTTCCTAAATAAAAATGATTGTTCCTTTTTTCTGTTTTTTTTTTAATTTTCCTTTCTTTATTACAATCATTTTAAATATTATTATATCCCACTTTATAGCATTTCAATATAACCCAAAAATGCTTCTAGTTTTTCTGTTTATTTTATTATTTTTAAACAGTTTTTAAACGTTAATAAGCCTATTTTTCGGCTTTTAAAATACAATATGTTTACCACTTTTTCTGTTTTTTAACACTTTTTTCTCTTTTTTACTTTATCACTTTTTTAATAGAAACATTTTAAATATATTATCATAATCCACTTTTTAGCATTGCAAAATAACCCAAAAATATTTTATTTTTTCTACTAACTAACTAACTCGAACTCAAACCTGCAATAGATTTTTTGCTATTACTTTTTACAATGTTCTGCCTAACGATTTTCGAGATTTACCTCTAGACACATTTAAAGCTACACTATTTTTTTTCTTTTGGGAAAATGCTTTTACAACTTTGAAAAATTTTTAGCATGTAATTTTAGTGATTTTATAGCCTAATGCTTCTTCCCATTGTGACCTGTGTAAAAATTATTTGTTTTACTGCATCAATAAATTTATTATTATTACTTATTTCACTTTTTTTTGAAAATTTTTAATATGAACAGTTTTTAAACCTTCATTTTTTGCTTTTTAAAATACATGATCACCACTTTTTCTGTTTTTTTTAATACTTCTCCCTGTTTTTTTACTTTAGGTATCACTTTTAATACAAACATTTTAAATTATTATTTACTTTATAG